ACCTAAGCTTTTTTAAGCTTCTTGCTTTCAGCCTAAAGGTGTATTTCCTGACTTGCCTCAGCATTAGAAAATACAGTAATGGTTGAAAGTAAGTTTCCTAGCTAGAGTTAGTCATTACTAGAGCCTTTAGCACATGGTAATGATATTTTCAGTGTATTAAAAATCCCATTAAATTGTCCATTGGCAGTGGCTTTTAGAGGGAAGAAAGGTGAACAAAATTGACAAATTTAAGACTTCTGTTTGAGAAGGAGAATTTGGAGCTGTACTCGGTAAGCTAGTGATACCTTCCCTCTGCCGCATGTTTTTTGATGGAACAAGTAATGCTTCTCTGAGAACCACAGATACCCTCTGGGAAAATCGGACTAACTCTGGGAATTAGCAATAACATTGGAGAATATGACTTTAGATTGACTTTAGAATGAGGAGTCCCACTAATATGCTGAGATAGACAAAGATTAATACTACAAATTCTGTGGGTATTTCTATGCTGTGAATTAACTGTAGGTCTAAGCTTGCTGTCAATTCTACATTCTCGTAAATCTGTTTTATTTACATGCAGGCCTGTGTATGACACAGACTTTCCCTGAGCTTCCTGATTTTTTTGTGGCCAAACTCTTAGGAGAACCCGCCAAGTCAGAAGGCTGTGCCCTGATCCCCGTGTGCTCCGCTCAGCGTTCTCTACTGCCTGTTTTCTGAAGCTCCTTGTGAGGACAAGTGAGCTTTTGGTTGTCAGACTCCTTTCTTCCCTGTTTGCGTCTGGGAACAGACTGCGTGTTGGTTTAAGGGTAAATAAGAGGTCACCTCTCCTTTCCACTGTCATCTGCTACTTTGCTGATAGCAGAGTCTTTACAAGTTGTGTACTGCCTGTTTCTTTTTTGAGGTGATTAACTTTGCTCCGCTCTCTCTTGGACAAGGGACGATCTTTTTGAAGGGGCTACACTATACCAAAAAAGATGATAAAACAGTCTAAAAAAAGCAGGAATCATAGCACATGCTAGTTTAAATTGGGCTAAACAGGTAATGGACTAGTGTGTGACTCTAATCCTCTAAAATTGCTTGCAGGCAGCCAGGCCCCTGTCTTACCATCAGCCTTCAGGTAGAGATGACGGTGACAGAGCTTGGTAGAGCGAGCAGCTGTGGACGCATCCCATGGTGTCAAGCACCTTGGTGTTCAGGAAGTCCTGATCTGACCTAGGGTATTAGCAGTATCCTCACTCATGCACTAGGTGGGGCTGTAGGATGGTTTCTGTTCCTTCCTTCTTTTTTTTTTCCTTTATTTTTGTGCACAGCCAGACAGACGTGTATCGGCTCACACGCAGTAAGTTGCACAAGTAGCATTCCTGAGGGCATAAGTATTATTTACTTGTGTAATGCATATGTGGTTTTGATAGATACCATTTTCATTACTGATTATATTTATGTGTAATAAAGTGATGATCAGGCAAACTTAATTTTTTTCCTCAAGGTGGAGAAGTTAGAAATTATTTTAAAATATAAAATGCATATAACACATTTAACTTGTTTGGAAAAAAAATCTTGGATACTTAATCAAAATTCTGTTCAAATCTTCAGATGGAGACCTAGTTGAGGAAACCTTTTTCTAAAAGAATAGAATCTTCTTTCTTTTAATAACTAGCATTATCATCTGTGTCTCCTGATAATCTGAATTTAATTAAGGAACTATGAATATGATACAGAGATTTTTTTGTGGGGGAAATGACAGGACAACTGAAACTGAGCAATAGAAAAATTATAATTTCTCCTTTCCTAGCTGACTCTAGGCTTTGGACATGCTCTGTGGGTGCGAGTTGAGGCTCGTGGAACTGCAGGTGTGCTCCTGTCCGGGAGGGGGGTCCAGGCGCCAGGGGACTCGCAGGTCCAGCTGCCCCCAGCTTATTCATCGTGGAAAAAGCTGTAACCAGGGGAACTTCTTGCTGGCCTTTATATCACCTCGGTCTTTCCTGCTTTGATAACTTTTCATTGTTAAGCTGTCATTAATTTAGCAGAGCTGGATTTTAACCTGTCCCTCAGTGCAGTATTGTTATGGGTCCAACTATCTCTTGGCTGTTTTTTGCTCCATCTAAGTTTCTGTGATTAGCCTCAGTCTCCAGTATGGATAATAGGTGTCTTTTTGTGTCCGAGTGCTCTCACATGAGTGGTTTGTGAATGACCTTTCTCGGCCTGTAGAAATCTTCAAAATTCATTATTCATTGTATTTTCTGAAGTGTGTGAACTGGTCATTCTCTGTTCTGCCTTGGAGTAAGGAAAATAAAGAGCTACGGGGCAAAGCAAGCTTGTTGTGAAAGTTGAGAGTAGGCTTTACCATTCTAGTTTACAAGTCTTAGGCTTAATGCAGCAGAGTATAGTTGTTCCTCAAAACTAGATATAACTGTCCAGGAAAGAACACAAACTAAAGATGACAGCTGGAGTTTGCATGATTTATACTGGTCTCTACTTTTCACTGTTACTTTTACTGTTAAGTGGACTTCTGGGAGTTCAAAGGCTGTACAAGTCCATATGTAAAGCTTGTCTCACCTGGTTTTGCTGGAACAGGGTCTTTTTTATTTTGTTCATGGGGACCCCATGCTTGCAGAGGCTTATACCCAGCTGTGATGACTCTGTTTTTCTTTTAAAGTTCATCCAAATCTTAGAGGGTTTTTGCAGTGATATTTTGCAGAGCTGTTACATGCAGCGTTCATGCTACGTGTTGCACGTATAGTTCAGTAGTGTCATGTCTGAGCAGCTTTTATTGTGACAGACTTTCGTCGCCTGCTTCTTCTTGATGCTTTTCTGCAAGAATAGAAGTGTGTGCAGTGGCATTTACTGTTTGGGATTTTATAAAAATACACATTCAAATTATATGATTCAAAAAATAAAAAGAAATGCATTCAAGAGGCTGGTCCTCACAAGTGTTTTTCACTTCTTCCTTGTTGTTCTGGAAGCATAATACTGGTAATAACATGCTGACCACCTGGGGACATGGGTTATGTTGCCAAATGTAACTTTGGAATCTTTGGAAAATAATTTGTGGCCTTCACATCAAAACACTTCAGAAAGTAAGAGGACACCCTTCCAGTGAGGTAGAACCTGTAAAAGTCAAGTTCTGCAACAGCTAGAGGAGAGAAATGCCTGCACAGTCTACTGCCCCCCTTGCTCTTTAGGGTCCTGTTCACAGTTGCTGTAAAGAGAAAGGAAAAGCAAAGAGGAAGCATGAAGTGTTTGCCTTTTCTCTGATTTGTTTGGGACAAAAATCTTCTAGGCATTAGAATGCTAAGTTTTAACAATGTAAAATTAGCACAAAAATCCTTTTGGTCCCTTTATTAATGGTAATTTCAGTGGTTTGGAAAGCACGTGGTGAGCTACTGAATAAATGAAAGAGATACAAGATCGTGGTATATATTGTAGTAGAACAAAAGGGGGATATCCTTATTGTAAGTTGGATCCTTCCTTTTTGTCAGAGCCCTTAGAGAGTCTATCGAACAGAAATTGATCTCTTTGGCATTCTTACCAGTAAGCACTAGCACAGCTGTTACATATAAAGTCACAAAACAGGGGCGCTAGGTTGGCTAGTGTTTTTCAGCAGTGTCTGGCTCCTTTTAGCTACAAGGCTGAAAGACAGCGGTCCTGAGACACCCAGCTCACAGCTTCATTCTTTGATTGCATCGCTCCTGAGTTTCAGATGTTCTATAAAAATTATTCTCATGTGTTTTTAAGGATCAATATTATTTTATGAAATCTGTGTATGAACTGCTTCTCCATTTTTCCTTTATGTAGCACAGACTCAAAACTTAGCCCAGGATTCATTCTGCAGTCTTTTATGCTCTGTCCTTCCTTTTGCAGTTCTTAAAAACATCTTTATGTTCAAGGTTTGGTTTGAACATTAAGACATCAGAGTTTCTGCTAATTTATCCTCACCTTGCTGTTTTTCTCTCATGCAGAAGTCTTTGCACACTCTTAGATTTTACAGATTATCAATCTCTGGCGTTTTTTTAAATATAAATTAATACTGCCAATTAGAGCTAGTTGCATATGACCCTCCAGC